GTTTTTGTTCAAAATAAATAAAAAGTTTATTTTGTTTTAATTTAAAAAAATTCGTAACCTTTCTTTAATTTTAAAAAATAAATTAAACGTTTTTATACGTAAAAGAAAGTAATCTTGAGTGCCAATGGAAAGGTTCCAAGTTCAAATCTCAACCGTCTCTAAGAATTATTTTTATTTTTATTTTTTACTAAATAATAATAATATTTTTTTTACTAAATAATTATTTCAAAAACTCCAATGACAAGAATTGGAATCTTCAAATATTGATAAAAATTTATAATTGCATTGGTGTCATTTAGTTCATATTTTATAATAAAATATAAATTAATAAAATATGAGATATTTGAATCAAAATACAAAAATATTTTTTCCTTTTTTTTGGATCAAATAAAATAATAGAATAATTTTTGACAAAATATGGTACCGTTTTCGAATGGGTGTTGTAAGTTGCTAACACCTTCCTACGCTCATTCGACTCCCGAACCAAAAATCTTGTTTTCGTAGACAAGTTTTTTTTAAATAGGTGGCTAATTAATGGTGGCGACTCCAAACCGTTATCTTGAAAGAGACCCTACAGAGGATGATGTCGGCTGCTCCGCGTCGCAAGCGATGACGTTGCGACAGTTATGACAATTGATAAATCATTCAACAACAATTTTACAAAGAAATTTTCAAATCTATTGTAGATGTTAAGTTTGATACAAACACATTGCAAATGGTACCTCAACTCATACCTCTCCATATGATACATAACTCTTAACATCATTTGTGACATTCAAAGTGAACTCTAGGCAACCGTAATACATTGTAATCATGATAAAATCCTCATGTTAGATTATTAATGACATGTCATGTTTTATTTAACCCTATCCTTTTTGTTAGGGATGTTCGTGGGTTGGGTAGGGTTGGATTTAGGGCTATTTTGAGCCCAATCCTATTTTTCGAGTTGTAGATTCCTATTCCAAAATAACACTCGTTAAATTACAAACTCAAACCAACCCAACCCGTAAAAATTGGGTTGGATTGGTTCAGTTCCATCAATTCTTTATCTTGCATTAAGATGAAAAAAAAGTCTTTAACATATATCCAATCTAAAGTACATTAAGTATCATACTTAATATCCATTAAAATAAAGGAAACCATATTTGAAATAAAATAATGATATTCATCCTTCCAAACACTACTATGTAAATAAGATCCTATACCCACAAGGGAGTGAGATCAGTGGCGGATCCAGAAATTTTGTTGAGGAGGTTTCATATTAGTTTACATAGGTAATTCCAAAGAATTCATAAAACTAGCAAGATCTTTTTTATAAATATGCTCTACAAACTTAGTCTCGAATATTACAATTGTAATAACAATTTTAACTTTTAGACCAAGATATGTCGATAAATTTTCTAAATTTATTATGTAAAATATCTATAAGAACTATTATTACTTTTTAATCCCCTTATCGATCTTTTTTATAGAATCTCTCAATTTGGATTTCAAATTAAATCGACAAGAATATTAATAAAATTAAAATTAAAAATTAAAAGATAAAATAATAATTATTCTCCAAATACTAAAATTATCTTAGTTTCATAGTATAAGAATTATGAGTTCGAATTCTAAGATTTCACTCACTATTATTTTTAAAATAACTTCAAATAGTCATAGCATATAAAATGTAAAGTTAATAAAAATATACCTTAAACAATTAATTTTCAAATTGTTGACTTTTTTAGATCATACAAAATTGAAGTTTAAACTTATTTTAGAACATTGAATATCAATCTATGAATTTATAAGAAGAAATATTATAATGACAACGTATAAATTAAAAACAAAAATAAGCCTTGAATTGGTAGAAATAATTAGACTATAAAAGTTCCACCAATTTCAATATTTTTTTCTCTTTCTCTCTTTTTTTTTAATTGACATATTTAATATATATTATTAAAAAGTTCACCCTTCGTACATCCGCCCTGAGTGACATCCATTTTCAGATTCAAAATTCAATAAAATATGAAGTAACTAAAATTGAGAAAGTGTAATTAAAAAAAAAACAACTAAAATTGAGGATTATTTTCAGATTGCAAATCTTAGAAGAATAATGGCCGTTTCAGAAATTGAGATTTGAGAGTGACGTTATGAGAAACAAAAATTATTTGAGTGTTGGGTCCGGGGAGAGCTTATGAGGATAGATTAATGGCTCAAAATAGAGAGTGATGCGTTTGTAGAGAGAGAGAGAGAGAGAAGGCGGCCCTCCATGCGAACAGAAATCGAAGTGAAGCCGTAGATCAAATCGAGAGAGACCAAGCAATTGATGAGCAAATAGGAGAAATTAATTTGTTTGTGATTAGAGATGAGAGAGAGGAAAAAGTAAAGAAAAAATGGACAACTAGAGGAGTAGAAAATAGTGCGGTGGCTAAAACAATTCAAGAATGATTAATAGGCAGTTATAGTAAACGCCGGAATTTAATGTTAATAAATATACCTTCCATGCTAAAATTAACCTATCTTTACCGCTTAAATTTTGTGGCAAAAATACCATTGAAACACATCTTTGCTACACACAAAATCAATGTAGAAAAGTGGAAAATTAATAAAAAAATGGAAAAATCAAATATTGTTTTTAAAATTATGGGGTAGATACATTGGGAGACAGAGTAATTAATAATGCCAATTTTAACTCACAAGCCGATTCCTTCCTCAATTTCATTTTCTTTTAGCTTCACCATCAACCTTGTACGCTATGTATGTCTCTGCAGACATATATAAAGTAAATACACGTATAGATAAAATAAAATACATGGTAAGTAGAGACATGTTGGAAATAATGAATACAAACTATTAAAAATTAAGAGAAGGCTAATCGGCCTAGAAAACAAATAGCCCACATTTGTTTTACTTGGTCGTTAAATTTCTTCCGCCTTTGATTCTTTTATTCACATATACATATGAAATTTTTTGAAGAAACCAAAGACAAGCAAAAAAGAGGAGAGGGTGGCGGCCATTTTTCTTCGGTAGGGATCGGAGAAAGAGAAGAAGTGAGATCTTCGACGGTAGAATATTGTCAGCAGTTCTTTCTCGCGATTCTTGTGAGGTTTTTTATTTTGTATTCCTAACTAGTTATTGTTGTTATGCTTAGAAGCTAGGTGACTATTGTTGTAGCATCTAAAGAGCATTTCAGAGGAAGTTGAGCCCATTGTAATCTTCCCATTATAATGGAACTTGTATATGGCAGAAGATTGGATATAGCTCCGAGCTTGGGATGAACCAGTATATTTTCTAGTGTTTGCTTTTCTATCTCTATCTCGTATTTTCTTTATTGTATTGATAGAACTGTGACTTGCTCATAACTGTTCATGCTTAACATTGTCTTTGAACATTCACCTATCACTGTTGTTGTCGTTTGCCTATGGTCATTACAAATAGCATTAATTGAACAAGTGTGTTTCGGTACGAGTTTTCTAGCAATCCATAATTTACTGTCACCATATCGAGAGGATTGAATATACCACTTGCATGTTTCTTCAATGCACCTTACAACCAACTGTTTTTAGTTGGATTTGACAGTTTTAAACTGAAAACTCCTTTTTAATGTAATCGCATAAAAGTCTTGTTCAATTCTTCCTTACTTTGAAAAACACATAATTCTTCCAACGAAAAATTAAAGGCAGCACAATCAAAATCAATAGGGTCCATGAAGATAAATTTATTTCCCTCGAGGTAAACTACATTCTGAGTGATGTTCGCACTTCCGCTGACCCTAGAGATGACATTATATACAAGGTCAGTGTCAACAACTATGTAGCAGTCGCTGCCCATGACATCCGACAAAAGTGATATGACTCATACCACGTCCTTGTATAGCCCTCATAATGATTGACTTGCAAACACGATTTCTAAAAAATGACAGGCACTTAATTTTCAGTCCTTATGGAAAATAAAGATCTCTAGAGATGCATGCAACGAGTTGTTGTAGGGTGGAATTGAATGGAATTGATACATGCCCAATACTGAATGCTGGATAATTGTCCTGCTCCCCCTAGCTTCCATCATGTAAAACCGTGGCTACAAGCGATTGCATAGTATTCTCGCTTGATTTAAATTCTCAAACAATGTAACAAAAATGGTGATTCATGAAACTCGTGCAAGAATATTTAAGAGACCTAAGATGGTGATTGCCGTGAAATTTATTAACAAATTGTTTAGGTTTGTTCTACATTTTAATTTTAAATAGATTACATTGGTGACAAATTAGTTAGACGGAAGTTCAAAATAGGTAGTTTTGGTGGTTTGGCTATGTAGAGATTTTAGCGATTTGGCTATCGATAGAGTTTAGGGATTCATGTGATTTCGCAGTGCTAAAAAGGGATAAAATGGAGAAACGAGGCTCTCAAGGAAAAAAAAAACCCTAAAAGGGGCTGGGCTGACACAATAAAATAAAAAGTAGTTGGACTACTCTACCTTTATAATTTTAATTTATATATATAATTATGAGTCGGTTCAGTTTAAATCGAAAATAATTCATATGAATTCGAAAATCGAATTGAACCAGTCGGATTCAGAGAAACTGAACCCAAACAAAACCTAATTAATTTAAAACCCAACCCAAACCAGGTGGGTTGGGTTGCTCAATTTTTTCAATGCTTCCATCTTGTTGAACACTCCTACTTTTTGTAATTGATTAATTTCATACTCAGTTTTAATTGAGTTACGATTTATTTTCATACCCAAACGAAATTGTTTAAAAGAAAAAAGAAATCAGAAAGTCAACCCACAAAAAAATATTAATCAAAACAACACCCGAACATCAAAAAACAATAATGGAATTCATTACCAAAATACAATAAAGCAAATGCTGACAGAGGAATGGCGAGATTTCTCCTTGCAAAAAAATATAGAAAATTGGTGTCTGAAAGGTGTACTTTATTTATGTCAAAGAGATCTAAATAGTACATGAAGCCACCCAAAATAAAACATAAGGTAAAATAAAAACTAAAAGTAAATAACAGTGACAAACATTTATTTTTCCTTCAACTAGCTACCTCAACAGAAATTGAGAAGCAAAAGCAAAAGCCAAGAAGCCTTATTCAAACACAACCTTTTCTAGTGTATGTTGTAAAGAGCTTTGATTCCTTTGATGTCATCTGCGTTCAAGCCTTTAATAGTCCCGGTCATGATTGTGGGATACATTATAGCATTTTTAACTGTGCTATGGCCGAGACCAAGGAGGTGGCCAATCTCATGCAGCGCCACTGTCTCCATATCGAGTTGCCCTCTCATCGGCCCGACCGCCCACGTCTCAGCAGCATCAAAATGAAACCTCCCATCAGTAGGTGCAAAAGCATGCGCTATAGTCCCTCCAGGACCATCAAATGGATGGTTATCGTGATGGTTGCCTCTGAAAAAAGCAATCTTGAGGTCTGCTCTTTTGTAGTGAGTGGCTAAAGAAAATGTGAAATGAGTGTTTTGAGCCCACGTATTGAACGCTCGAGCCACCGGCGCCATGGCATCGGTGCGAGTGCCTGGAAGAAACGCGTAAGTAAGGTGGTACTTGGAAGGTGGCCACCTCTGCCTTCTGGGGAAGAAAGAATAGTGGGAAACAATATGGTGATGATGCTCATGACCACCGTGACCCTCCGACTGCATTCGTCTTGCGACTCCATCGACAATATCTGGCACGCCACATCGAGAAGTTGTAAGTTGGGATACCGTCTCAGCGTTCAAGGATCCAGTAGAGTTAAGATGAAAGAACAGTTGATAAGTTTTGATGGCAGACTCGAGGAGATCATCAAAGACATCATCATTGTCTATTAGATGGCCACCGGTGGCATTTTTTCGATCCTTGAAGTAACCAAAGTGTCGAAAGTAACTTTTAAGATGAGATATGCCTTTGATATTGTCGCCTTTCTTGCATCCTTGGAGGCGGTTGAGAAAGCCAAATGGAGAATGTTGGTGCAATGGAAGTGGATGGGAAAAGCAAAGATAAGGAAGAAAGACAAAGAAGAGAATGAGAAGAGATTTAGAGCACGATGCCATAGATGATATTTGGTTGATGGTTATTGGTTTTGATACCTAATACCAACGAGAGGAAGAGCCTATTTATAAGTCTAGTCTCATAGCATAGAACATGTTTTTTCTTTGGCTGCCAAAAACTTGAGAGAGTTTAAGTTGTCTTTATCCAAGTCTTGATTTGGTTCCTTAATTTTGAAGTATATGTTGGTGTGAACGTCTAACTAGGGCAGATTATAATTTTATAAATTATATAATATTTATAATTTTGTTTTGATTTCCTTTTCAAGTTTGATTTTTTCTTTCATGATATCAAATATAAATGGAAATGAATAAATTTTATTTTTTATTTTTTATTAAATTAGTTTTTTTTAATTAATCACATGGAAAGAAATATAATTCTCATATATGAAAAAATTTCATACTTATTATTCCAAGTTTGTTCTCTTTCTCCTATATCTATCTATATCTATATTATATATAAAAGGCCCAACTCTTATTTTTTTCATTTTATTATAATGTTTTATCTACTATTTTAATGGTATTTTTTCCAAATCTCCTTAAATTCTACTAATTCACTCGCTCCTCTCTCATTTCTTCCTGCACCACCCTTTTTTTAGTATAACATTTGCGGGTGAAGTTCGAACTTATAACCTCTTGGTTGGGGATATGTGTCAATTACTCTTTTAACTATTTCCCACGCTACCCCTTTTTCTCTCTCTTTTTATCTTTTTAATACATTTATTTTAGTTAAAATGAAGGAAAAGAATATCAAAAGTTTCAATAAAATTGTTGTCAATTTATTCTTAAAAATTAATGATTTTAAATTTAATTATGTACTTAATAATGGAATTTCTAAAGTTATAGTGTTTTAATGATTAAATAATGTTAAAAATAAAAGTATAAAATTTATTAAAATAAATAATTATTGACAAAAATGTAAGAGTTTAATTATAAGAAAGTTTTGTCAATTTATTTTTAAACTAATTTTAAAATTTATTAACTATTGAAAGTAGACTAAAAAGATCTACAATCTTTTGGAGAATATTTTTGGACAATTTTATTTCTCTGTAAAATTTGTCTACTTTTTTTTTTAGTGTAGAAGGGGTGGGAGATCGAACTCACAACCTTTTGGTTGGAGGTAAATGACAATTATATGCTCGCTTTGGCCTCGTTATTTTGTCTATTAATTTACTTTCAAATTAACTTCTCATGAGTTTTTTTTTATGATTTCTCATAAGTTATTAAATCATAAAAATAATAATTCAATTATTGAGTAACACCAAAGAGGTTAATTATTATTTTTTATTTAATAATGGCAAAATTTAGAATACGTAAAATTTTGTCATTATTCTATAAATTAATTCAAAAAGTTATAGTTATTTTAAATTATAATTAATAATGAAAATTCAAAAGTTTTAATTATTTTATTATTTAATAATACAAAGAGTTATAAGATATAAAGTTTTGTCTCTTAATTTGTACCAATTAGCTTTTAAAAAAATGATGACTTATTTTTAATTATAATTCGCCCGTTCTTCCAACTTCTTGGTCTTGGAGCAAGAACCTACACCCGCAGGCGGGCTTCCCTACTATTGGATCGTGAATCAATGCCGTATAGAAGACTCTAACCACTAAGTTGAGTAGGTCAACGAGAATTCCTATTTGATTAGTTTCTTTTTTGCTCAATTGTCAAGGTTATGCTATTCCATGACTCCCACTATGTGTAAAGTGAGTGGGTTCCAAAGTTCATCCTTCATAAAAAGATATTGAAGGTGCTTCATTTCTTTTTGTCTTTTTAGAAATTTCGAAAATTTTGTAACTCTTTCATCTACAATTATATTAAAGAGTTCTTTCTTACTCTTTCCCTCAATTTTGTTCTCACCAAATAAAACAATTTTAACAATTTAATTCTTTTTATTAATTTAGTTTTAACTATTTAATTATTTTTTTATATTTTTTAGACTTTAAAATAAAACTATGAAATTCAGGTGCACCACACATATTTCTTACTAATTTATATTGAAAAATTTTAATCATATATTTGCTATGGAATAAATTTAATAGATTAAATATACAAGTTACGCCATTAAACTTGTAGAGTTGTGTCTTGCCAAGAATATAGTTTTCTAATTTTAAATTTTATATACAACATACATTCATAATCTATTAGAATTCTTTTTTGAAGTTTTGGATGACAAGTGTCCATGTGTTTTATTGGCCACCGAAAACTTAAAGTTTAAGTTGCCTTTGCCAAATTCATGCTTGGAAAAGTATATATTTGGCGTAATGATTAGAGAGAATATGACCAATGGCAGATTTTTCAAAGTCTTGCTTGGAAAATATACGTTTGGCGTCAATGGTACAGAGAGTATGACCAATGGCAGATTTACGTAGGGGTAGGGACTCTTAGTCAAAGTCTTGCTTTGGTATTTTTGGAAGTATACGTTGGTGTGGCGAAGATGGTCTCTCGTGGCAAGTGATGATTTGCCTCCAAACACTCACTCCTACATCTTGTTCAACTAGGTTTGGAAGGTATTTGGTTTGATTCCCCTTGCTTATAAACTTTGTTATATATATATGAGTCAAGATATTAAATATCTTTTAACAATTCTATAGGTTCAATGGGTTCGACATGGAAAAAAAAATTTACAAAATAGAACACAATTCGATGCTAAAGTCAATAGCTAGTCAAACTAAACTCGATAGAGAATTTAGTGTTCACGTACCTCAAAACAAAGCGAATGAGTTCTATTTATAGGCAACTTCTCCGACAATATTCCCGACTGCACAAGGGATCAGCTCGATCATGGGAGATGAGACCAAGGCAACTGACACGACCTGCCCTAAACACCTACTAACTATAGGACAAATCGTGCCGACCATAGACCCTCAACCATCTATCAAGTCTATAGTCAACTTCTTTCTAAATTTCTAAAATTAATTTAGATTATTGTTCAACATATAAAACATAAAGTGTAACATAATTCATCTAAAAAATAACTACTCAGTCACGACTCCTAAACATGCTGTACAACCACAAAAGGTACAATTATTCCAGTATGAGTCATTCTAGATGAACATACAAAATGATATGCAAATTCTGAGACGGTGAGTGGCAGAAACTGGTCGGCTATCTCTATGAAACTCAGGTGCAGCCTAGTGGAGAACAACAATGATAACCAGTGAACTTGGAAGCTCAGTGAGTGGCATTTTATTAAGAAAATAGTTTCGTAAAACTTATTCCATAAAAAAAATTGAAATTTCAATTCTTAAGACGAGCTTCATAAAGCTGAAATAATAAACATTCTCGTTAAAACTTCAAATAACTTGAGCAATTAAAATTCAGTAATTTTCTAAGCATAACTTGTAACAACATATACTTTCCAAAAACACTTTCTGAATACGTATCAAATATCTTCTTTCAAATCTAAAACAGGTTAAGAAAATTCAACACCACGTATGTATCCCCATTCTATTCTGGTCTACTGGCACAGAGTAATATTAAGACGCACAGCAGAATAATTTTATTTCTGGTCTACTGGCATAGAGTAATCTCAATATAACACAGCAGAATAATTCTCTCAACGCGCGGAGTAAAATGGTCCCAAAGACTTTCTATTTCTGGGTATACTATAGAAACATATTCACATAGCATACAGGTAATCACCTGGATACAATAATATGGTGGTTTGAAAACTTATTTCTGCATAAAATTCTCAATCTTATAAACAGTTCTAAAATTCTTCTTTTTCTTCTTTCTAAGAACATTTTTTTCTCAAATCACTTCTAAACATATTTCTTTCTAATCATATTCAATAAACACGAACAGTTTCTCAGAAAATCATAAAACATTTCTATGTTCTCAGAAGCATTCATAAATTATCAGCAAACTCAATTTCTCAACAGAAATAATCAAACATACGTAATAAATATTTTCTTGAAGTACTATAATAGATATCTTAAAATATTTAGTAAAATAACCACTCACAAATCCTATGAACGAGGTGAATCGGGTTGGTACGCTGCTCCAATTTCCGATCGTCCTGAAATAATAACCAATGAAATTTCAATTCACACCCAATTTCCAATTAAACTCTACAATTCTTCAAATTAAACCATAAATTTAATCAACAACCCCACTCTCTCTCTACCATCCAATTGCAGCTCACTCTCTCTCTACCAACTTAGTTATTAACCATTGGTTATACCCCAATTTATTTCCAACCAAAACCCACTTCACGTTTCCTTTGCTTCAATTTCCAATTATTTTCCCCCTTTTTTTTTTAATTCCNCTCTCTCCTCTACACTATTCATCTTCTTCTTCCCAAACCACAACCAACGAAACCCTCCATTTCTTCCTCTCCATTTCTTCTCTTCTTCTTCTTTTACTTCACAGACTCCTCCGACCTACAATAATGAAATCACACACAGAGGCCGAAACCATCACAAGAGTTCAAGAAATCTCTTAGGCAAAGCAACAACCCATAGAACATTTCATTCCAATTTCAAATAAACTTGTGATTCACAAACCCACAAAACAAGGGAGTCCATATCCTAGAAATTCAGGATTTAAAATTCCAAAACTTACCAAAATCAAGTTCCCAACCTCAAACCAGTTTCAGAATCAACTTCAATTTCATCCTCCTTCCTCTGTTTCGTTTTCGTTTCTTTTTTTTCCTTCTCTTCTTTTTCTTTCGTTTTCTTCTCTGTTTCCTTTTTTTTTCTTTTGTTTTTCATCTCCACGTGGCTTCCTCCACAACACACACACACATCTCACTTTTCCACTTTCCTTTCCTTTCCTTTCCTTTCCTTTTCTTTTCTTTTTCTTTTTTTAAAAAAAACTCAAAATTACAATACTGTCCTTACAGCAATAAAACTCGTGGCTTTATCGATCCAAGCCACGTGTGACCTTCATTATCCAATCAATATGTGCCACGTGTGAGTTGAAAATCACGTCCAACAGAGTGAAATGTTTATTCGTTTGTTTAAATATTTACTATGAATTTTTTATTTTTATAATTTTCTATAAATATCTTCGACATTGGATATTTCCACTAACTTATAGAATTGAGACATTCATATTTCAGTTCACATCAATATTTAAAATCTCAATATGAGTATAATTATATTTTCTATTGAACAAAGTTAATTGTTAAATTATAAATTTGATCTTTAAAGATTTGTTTGGTAATGTTTTCGTTTTGTTCTATATATTTCTCATTTTTATGAAACAGGTATGTTTATTTCTAAATAAGATATGATATCTTATGTGATAGATCAGAAAAACATAGGAAGATTTTTTTGAAAATGTGAAAAAACTTTATGCGACCAATTAGAATAATCTAATTGTCAACTTAACAGAAACCAGAGCCCTCTACATTAACAGGACCAATTTAAATTATAAGCGCGATCTCTAAAGTCTTAGTTCTAGAATGGCCTCATATTTTTCATATAGATATAATATATAGTATATATACTATAATATTGTTATCTATTTATTTTAGTTTTTAATCATAAATAAAAATTTTCAACATAAACTTAGTTAAGCGATAATTGATACCAGTCTCTTATTAAGAGGTCATGAGTTCCAATCTCCACCTCACTTGTACTAAAACAAATTCATAAATAAAATTTAAAATATAAAATAATATACTTTTCTTAATTTTTTTATAATATTAAAATATAAACTAATAATATATATAATTCTCTTCAAAAGTAAAAAATCCATATTCAATGAGCTAATAAATCTTTCTCAGTTCTCAACGAATACCGATATAAATTTATTAACTTTTATCTTTTTTTTCCTTCACCATCCCTTTCAAATTTGTTTAAAAATCTCAACCATATACTTCTTTAAAACTCTCTTGAGTTTAAGACCTTTCACATTCCTTATCTTTTTATTAATTTTTTTACTACTAAAACATTTCAACCTCTCTTTGAGAAAAAAAAATCCATAAATATATTAGATACATTAGGTTAATTTTAACTTCAACTTTCTCTTTGATTATCTCTCAAGTCTCAACTTTTCATGTTTGATCTTTTGTGTGATCTCATAACTAAAGTGGGATTATCAATAGCTAGGGTAGAAATCCTTATTTTCTCAAATCAATCGCTTACGGCTTCAAAGTTCCAGGTTTTTTATTCAAATTCTTTTACTTTCAAAAAAAATTATTATATATTATTGATTTCTCAGTACCTTAATATGTGATATATGTTTAGATTTACTTACTTAGAATATCAATATGTCTACAAGAAAATATAAATAGTGATATGCAAAGATTAGGAAGAAAATAAGAATAAAAAAACTCATTCTAATATATACGAAAGTTTTACTTAGAATATCATGTATGATGTATGATGTATTCTGATTATAATATAAACGATCCAAGAATATGAGAAAATATTGATTATAAATTAATTGATTTAATGGTAGAAAAAAGTCTCGTTAGAGGAAGTTATTTAATTTTTCCAAGGCATGAAAATTCTAGACATTTTTCTAATATTCATTATACTTAAAAATTATCTAAGGGCAAAAAACATTATAGAAATGGGCTAGTTTACTCAAAGATTTTGATAAAATTGTTGACGACAACAGTACCTTCGTACTCCCAAGTATCTCCACAATGGTATAATATGGTCTGCTTTGGCATAACTGTTGTGCCTCAGCTTAATAGCTAGAGGATAAGTGCAAGTACACACTGTCACAAGTAATAATTTGAAAATATTTCAAGTTCGTCTCCACAGGGACTAGTTTTTCTTTTAAAATTGAATTTGAAAACTGTTAGAATGAGCAATCAAGCTTGTAATAAAAAATTGGTGAAATTGGTTGAAAACAAAAAACACATGAAAATAATAGAATTTAAAAGGCCAACCCCCTACTTCTGTTTAGTTCTAAAATGATGAATTACACCTACCAAATGTGCCCAGAATTACGCTCAATTTATGCAAACTGGTTCAACTCCTATTCCATACCGCTTTTGGTTTGTTTAGAAGTTTAGGTTAGTGTTTACATATGTCTATGCAACTCTAGAATCCTAAATGAATTAAATGCCAACTTACGTTTAACGGGTAAGAGAGCTATGTCTAGGATCTTATTTTAGTTCTTATTTCTAAGTAACTTCTCGTTTTACCTTGATGAGATCCGTTTGACTCTAACCTACTCAGAATTAAATTCAACCCAATGTGATTTAAACAAGTAGCCAACAAGAAAATCAACTGAATAAATTGTATCAATCAAGATAAGCAAAGAGAGCGTAATACGTCATGCTCACTGATAGATGTAATTTAAAATAGATGAACTAAACCATTCGTAAGAGGGTTAAAAATTTAATTTAGCTACTCATGGAATTGAGAGAAATAAAAACACAAGAGAAGATTACAAAAGAAAGCACTTTAATTAGAATTGGAAAGAAAATACAAAATGGAACAGTTTGAATCGCAATAAAATAAACAAGAGTAATTGCAGAAAAATAATTGAAAACAAAACTTAAATAAAAACTACAAAAATAAAATTGATAACAAAGTAGAAAGGAAAATAAAAGTATGGAAAAATGAGATATGTAAAAGTGATGCTAGGAGGCTCCTTTTATAGGTCATGGAAGTAACAAGTATTTGAGAAATTCAACGGAAGTTGGTACCACTCTTTGTAGAGATTTTAGGAGTAAAACTGAATCTTGGAGCAATAATTTGGTCAAAAGTTGTTATTCCCGGGTTGACAATCTATGCATCGGATGTGGCTGGCGCATTGCGAAGCTGGAAGTTCCAAAACAATTGGCTGGTGCATCCTTCTAATAAACTGGAAATTCTGGGCATGCGACGTGTCTGACGCATTGCAGTCATCAATTTCCAATTTGCCTTACAAAATAAACAAATTTTCATCAATTAGCCTCTAATTGCTTCTAACTACTTGCCTAAGTCCTTAATAACAAAATATGCACATTTTCCATGAGTTATATGCATTAACATACATTTTCTATCATAATTAACTCCGAACCAAGCATGAGAACTACTTTTTTTAGCCTTTAATCAAGTCTTATCACACCCCCAAACTTAATATTTTGCTTGTCCTCCAGCAAAAACAAAAATTATCAAATCAATAATAGACATGCAAAATTCAAGAATAAACCAAACATCCAGCAGAGCCGAGTAATTTGCCAAATGGTGTCTCAGGAGGAACGTCAAAGCTTTAATCCCTACTACTTTTCTCAAGCAAAATCATTATAAGGCCACCTTTGTTTAAAAGATAAAAGCTTTTCAAATTCTTCTATTGTCTAACTCAAAAAACTTTTTCAAATCCAGTAGAGACAATGCACACTCCCTTTAATGAAAATTTTCTAGCACAAAAATAACTCGAAAACAGGACAGTCACTCAAGGGATTCTCTAGGCTGGCAACCAATCCGAACTTGTCGATTAGTGAGTTGCACAAAGTCAAGCTAGATCAAAGTTACTACCATAAAATTACGAGTATCCCTAAGTGAGACTCTTTTCGCAAACAGAGTGGGAACTAAGTTAAGACAAGCTTCCTTACTTTTATTATCTCATTTTTTGCCTCAAAGTTTCTTCTTTCACGCTTTTGTCTGTCCATTCTTATTTTTATTTTGCTTTTCTTTGCAAAATTTTTTATCACTTTTTTCTTTCCTTTTTCTTTTGTCACTCTTCTTTTTCAAGACAAAAATTTATACACTTTGTTTTTCCACACTTTTTCTTACCTCTTTTGTTTTTCGGCTCACTACATCTTAACATTCTATTAGGCTTGCTTAAGCTATTCTCCCCCAAACTTGAAGGAGACAGTGTCCTCACTGGTTTTAAGTGTGAAAAATTTGAAGGCGCGTAAAAAATTTTTACCACTAAAGGACAAGGATCCTCCTCTTAAAAGATCTAAAAAGTTTAAAGGTTAAACATAAGAAGCAGAAAATGATTTTATCCTAAAACAACGTGGCAAATGAGTCATAGCTTGATCTAAATAGTAGAAAACAAAACTCATGCATATTCCTAATTATCATCATCGACATAGGAAAAGAACAAGAAACTACTCAAAGATGGTAAATCCAAGACTTTTCATGCTTAATATTGATAAGACAAACTGTGCATTCACTTGAAGATTCACAAAAACAAAAGTTAGGCAGCAATACACTTGATATGCATGATAATATAACTCTAGCCCAACACAAAAACACAATTCTCAACTGTTTTCAGCATGCTTCAATATAACAAAATCCAAACTAACTACAACATATCCCTAATCATGCACAACTAGCCTAGTATGCAAAAATCATAATTATCCGACTAAAGATAAGAGAAAAAGGATCAGAAGCTCCCTAATCTACTATCATCTTCCTCATCAGAATCATCACCATGCTGAGGTGGCTAAGAAGTTGAAGCACCTCCCAGGTTGATTGGAAACTCCGGGATATTGGGGTCGTATTGTGCCAAAACAACCTATTTATTCTTATTTTCGAAAACTGCTATTTTTTTAAACAAAATGCAATTAAACAACATCTTTAGAAATTACAAAACTCAAAAAAAAAATTAAATAAAATCCAAATTTTCATTTTAAAACAAACTTTTTTTTAGATAAAAGAAAACTTCTAAACTAAAAAATAAAAAAATAAAAAATAATAATAATTCACACCGAGTGCCCCTCCCATCAAGTTCGAAAAACCAAATGAGGGGTCAATTAAG